ATCGTGCTGCAACACCGTGACGGAGTATAAAAAACACCGCGGGGTAATACGATTATCGAAATTCGATGGGTCGCTACGGTTGCGCCGTGCAGGGATGCACGCGCGATCGATCCGGTTCCGATCGATTCTCTCGATCGACGTGCGTTGCTTGCTCTCACAGTCGTTTCCCTGGCCGAAACCACGAGCGCGTATAATCCTCTTCGTATCGCTATGTCCGTGTAATTTTCATCTCCCCTTTTTCATCCCCGCTTGCATCCTCGAAGCACCGTCGTATTATTGCGTTTCGCGTAATGACGCCGACTTTTCTCGACGCGCCCGTCCAGGGGGCCTCTTTCCTCGAAACTTCTTTTTATTTTATCGTTTAATGTATACCCATATACGCGAAGTCACAGAGGTACCAATGGTTTAATTACTTATTGACTATTTTATGTAGAATAACTAAAGACTTCTTTTCATGTCGAGTTCGTCAGATCGATTCTCCGGTAAATCGAGTTCAACATACCCCTTCCTCTCTTGCGTAACTTTCAATAAGCAATCTCGTTTAACGTCTCTCTTAGCCCGGTGCAAAGGGAAAGTCCTTTCGGCCGCGGGGCAGTCACGAACGAACCCACACGCCCACGCAACAGCAAACCCTGGAACGGACCGCGCTGAGATGCAAAGTTATGGTTCCCACGTGCCATGATATCGTTCGTGTCGATAACGAAGACACTACTCTTCCGATGTGCCCCTAAATATTTCTTGATCACCGCGATACAAGCTTGTTTCATTCACTGGCTATTTCGAAAGAGTAGATTGCGTAACTCTTCTTCGTTGTATCCGGTTGTCACGCTTAATTCAGATTTGCAGCAATTTTTTCCAAGTTATAGCTCGTAATACGAGGAATAAATGAACGACACGCGTTATGGCATTCTTCATGACAAAATACAACGGAGAATAAAAACTGAGAGTATGATTTAGACGAGTGGTGCGCATCAGACAACTCGTAAAGCTGTCTAGTTGTTAATATCCGTATTTGGCTGTCGCGTCTCTCGACGTTACTCAAAATCCCCATCGTTTACAGTTTCAAATATTAGTAGGATGTTAAACGCGGTGTCATGTATCATGCTCGCTGGTTGAAAGAGAGAGAGATGGAGGTCTAATGCCACTGTCGGACGAATTTCCCATCTAATTTATTACTCCGTTGACGTCCAACCTTTCATGCTCCAAGTTCGTGGAAGCACCAACCCGTCTGAAATCTTCTTACGTGCCGGTATCGTGAGCACCGCAGCCCCGCATGGGAACCCGACAAGTTCGCGCCCACGCCTGTTCACGGGGAGGGTAGTTTCGAGACGGATGCGACAGGATCGAGCAAGGCTTTCGTTCGTGAAAGTAATTTGTGTTTTTTTTTCAATCACGTTCGCAATGTCCGCGAAAAGAGGCTTCTGGTGTTCGACGTAATTTCGCCTTTGTGCCATGGGACATTCTGCAAGCTCATGAATCGCATCGGAAAATTATTCAAACGCATTTTGAATCGAAAAAGCACATCTCTATTCGTCAAACGAATTTACTTCGAACGCGTATTTTCATTCATTACTTCTCGAATTAATTTACTTTCATATTATTATTCGATATCTAATCGAATCGAATAGGTAAAATGTTATATTTTTAATAATCTGAAATTAATTTTAACATTAAAATTAAAATATCTTCTAAACTAACGATTTTTAACATAAATTGTTTAACACTTTTTTGTAAAGAACATCAAGGTGTACAGTGACCGGCAGAATATAGTGACCATCCTATATCATATCGTAGAATATTATAAAACTGATGTTTTTAATAAAAAAGGATGCTATTATTGGGCTTTTTTGAAAGTTTTACTGTCACACCAAAGGTTTGTTACAAAATTTAAAAGAGTATTTCCAATAATAAGAACCTATAACATTATTTTAACAAAATAGACATTTTCATATATGACAAAAAAATGTGACCGCCCTAGAATTTGTAGCGTCTTCACTTAATTGCGATGTGTAAACGCGATGTACCGCGCGTAAAGTATAAACAACACCGCGACCTGTGACTAACAGTTCGTTATTTACATGTCGAACAAAGCCTACGAGAAAACTAGTACATACCATCAAAATGTGCCCCTGTCGTAATCAATTCGACTTTGTCCGAAGCATTATTTACTTCGGTGTAATAATAACGACGAAAAGCGAGGTGGTAATTAAGTTTGGTGCACCACCTTGTTTACCGTTACGTTTCGCGACAGTTAAGAAGAGGTGGGCGTAAATAAAACGGCGCGAGAACGGAGAGCGCGTCGGCGAAGAACGAGGAAGACCACACAGGAGGCCAAAGGCGGAAGGATCGCAAAGCGAACGGGAAATCTCACAAATTAAGCTTGAGCTGTACAAGAGGACGAAGCTTTCCCAACCGATAGGATTGGCTGCAATCTTCGACAAGGCAATCCGGCAGACTCGTAAATTTCCTGGAACAGCGCGAACCGAGCCTAACAGACCCCGAGTGTCTCGATACCAGTTGGCCACAATTTCCCGACGACATGGAGATCTAATTCTGACAATTTATTTGTCCGATAAACTGAAGGTGTTTTCATCGGATCCTCGAAACGCCGGTGATCCATTAGCCAAGGACGTTTCCAATCCTAGTCGTTGCGTCGTTTGCAGAACATTTTCTCGCTAAATTCTCTCGTGGGACCGCGACCGGTTAGTTTAAACTATTAGTAAACGTCGATTCGTATGGTGGTTGGAGTCAGGGTCGACACGAAACTGCTTTCACGCCTGTCTTGGGCATCGATTATATTTACGATAGTATTCTGAAAGCTGAAATATCTAAAGTGTTCATAAATTGCCTGAAGCCATAGTCCAACGAGACACTACTGTACAAAGTTTTGGAAACAAATTTAAAATCCAACCACTTGAAAATATTTGTTCATCGAACGCGATTTTTAGTGTTTAAATCCGACGAATATCTGGAACGTTTGAAATTCTATTCTGACCAAAGGTGGTCATTTCGAACGAGGCTGAGCAACTGTGCATTATTGGAGAAGGGTTTTCGACCTAGAGAGAGCTAAACAAGCAACGGACGTCGAATGCGTATCGCAAGTGGGCTCAAAAATAAATATTCGGTGGTCTTAAATTCATCGTGTTCTCCAACCCTTCGAAAATGTTTCGTTCGAGGAGCGCCCAATTTTTTCACCTGTTGAATTCGCTTGACCGATACCGATCGACTGTGGCAACCGCGAAATGCACCGCGATCGAACATCGAATATTAGAAATTCCTCTCGCATTTTTATCCGCGTGGAATCCTCGCGATATCGCGGTTTCTCGCGCGACTCCTCGCATTAAATTCGCGCGTCGCGAACAGGAGAATTCCGTGCCCGGTATCGAGTACGGGGTCGGCACGACGAAAACATCGTCGGAAGGGAGAAATAAATGAAGCAGCGAGACGAAAGAAAGAATAGGGAAGAGGACGGGGTAGTCGACGAACGAAAAAGAGGCAGCGTGGAATTTAATTTGGACGAATTCTTCGGCACTTATTACGGGGGTCCAGAGAGGCATGGAACGTCGCCAGGCGTCGTTCGAACCGTTCGTCGTCCCGACGGCGGCTCGCGAACGGGACGTCGATTTCTGGCGCTCGAAAACAGCATCGACGGGCCGACATTCGACGTCGCGACGAGTCAGGCGGATAGGCACCATCGGCCTGTTCCACGGGGCTCTCGGTAACAGCCGGCGCAACTGAGCTTATTTGAATTCCAGATTGGATTATCTGTCGGATTTGGATAAATGAGGGGATTCTATCAGTTACCTATTCGTGCTGGCGCGGGATTAGATGCATAGACGAGAGAGAATCGGGTCTCATCCGCGTCGAATAACCAACGAAAATCCCTCGCGATCTGCCTAAAATTCGAACCCTTGTTACGAACGACGAATGAGACTTTGCAATCGTTATCGTCCCCAAAGTTTCAAGTACGATGGAACTGCTTCCGTTATCGGAACATCCGTTGTATTTACGAACGTTTTATTATACGAAAGGTTGGTTGATTAAATTTATCTTGAATTAAAATTGCTGCAATCGCTTCGAAACGTTTAGTAATTTTCTGATCGAACAAGGATACGATAGAATCCATCGTTTCATCAAGAATCGAAGAGTTTTGAAAGTAATAGGACTCGTGGCTGCTTGGAATTATATATAGGAACAGGTGGTCGGTCGAGCACTTGTGGGAGAGGTACAGATTGAACGTGGCCCTCTGCTGGCGAATGCTGAAACTGTCGCTACATATATCACGAGTCTTCCGTGTATCCAAACTTCTGGAACTTTGTCATGTTTGCGAATTTTTCTTCAAAATTGTAGAGAGTCATTGTTAAGTGAAGTCATTATTCTTATGTCAATATCGCAGAAAAGAATTTAAAAAGAACAACATGGAAAATGATTGTTTCATTGGTCTGTCGAGTACTTGTGAGAGAGGTACAGGTTGAGCGTAGGCCTCTGGTGGCGAGAACGAGATGTCTATAGATCTTCTCCGAGCACAAGACTTTTCACAAGCATCGAAGATGACCGACATGCCAGGTCGAAATCGTTTTACTAATCACTTCGCCAGGTATTTGTTTCGCTTCGCGAACACTCGGCCAGGAAAATAATAATTACTATTGCCGCGAAGCAATTTGAAGTAAGCGTCGGCGCGGGGGAACGAAGTTTAAATACTTCTCACTTTTTTCCCACGGAAGATTAAACTACATACAACGGTTACTGGTCTCCCAGGGGACGGTGGGAACGATTCTCGGAGCAGGACGAAGTAACTTCTCGGGTAGCTTTTCATCAAACTCCGCCTTGGCTTTCACTTTTCGATTTTTGTTTTCCTATCCGCGTTGGCTGCGAGTCGGGCGAGGTTTCGTGAAATTCCTGTTGCTTGCCAGGCGCGTGTGATTCATCGCGGTAATTTGTTTTTTCCACCCCACACCACCACTTCGCTGTTCTAATGCGGATACGATTCTTCGTTGCAGCTACCGGCGTGAAACAAAACGGCGAGGAGGTCGATGACTCGAAGCAGGAAGCAGACGAGGCTGGTACGGCTTTGGTGCAATATCCGGACAACTTGAACCTTCGTGATCTTTACTACTACATATTGGCGCCTACGCTCTGCTACGAACTGAATTTCCCCAGGACACAAAGGATACGGAAAAGGTAAAATAACGATAAGACTCGAGCATCGCACGTTACGTTCGATTTTCAAGCATTTCGGTGAAATATTCTCACGGGGCGTTTACTATTTTATCGAGGCTTTGTTTCGGTGCTCGTGATTAATATACTTTTCTTAATAAAAAGGTCTATCAAATAATTCAAGTATATAATGTTTATCGGTTTAAAAAATTTGTTGGTTGGTCCTGATCTATGGATGGGTTTATAAACGAATCGTACACGCGCTTTCCCGAAGAAATTCGCTTCTTTCTCGCGAGGTTTCGGTCCTACGAGCTTCCATCGGTAGGAAAACGGAGGGATGAAGGCAAAGTTGGCGAGCAGAGTGTTCGCGAAATTAGATTTAAGTGGGCTATTGTCGGGAAAATGGAGGAGGGTGCGTTTGGATGGACTCCGCAGGGGCAAGGTGATGTATTCCTTTCGGTGCTTCCGGCTCGTACTTCCGATTGTATCCGGAATTCCAGAGATTTTCATGGAACACTTTCTTCCGACTACGCGGAAGTATTTTCACGATGCATACGAAAAGTGCTTCGAGTCTGGCCGACGTTTCTTGTCACCGGCAGTTGTTGGCTTCGAAAACCCCGGGAACAAATTTCACTGGAAAAGAAACGTCATATCGCGCGACGTACCGCACGAAAACATCTTTTCGGATTTCTTGCGGAGTCGCGTCTACGACGATATTTTAAAACGACGACCCCGTGTCGAATACCGAAATAGCGATTCGACTGGCATAAATTTAACGTACGTTCAGGTTAAGATCTAGAAGTACGTAGATAATATAATAGTACAACTTTCTCGGTAGATTCATTCATTTGTCGTAAAATCGTGTTTTTGATCTTGGACGAATTTATACGAATAAATGCTTCGTTCGTTGCTTCCAGATTCCTGATTAAACGAATCTTGGAAGTTGTAGTCGGCTGCCAAGTGGTCATGTCGTTGTTTCAGCAGTGGATGATCCCGTCCGTGAAGAACTCCCTCGTCCCGTTCAGCGTGAGTATTTTATTTACTTTCTCTGTCGTCGTAAGAATTTCTTTACAAAATTTGTTTAAACGTTCGATCGTGGCTGTTCGTAAAATTAAATTTTATTTTACGAATCGAGAAACCATGCTGCAAAAAAATAAAAAAAAAAAAATAATAGTGTTTCGTACCTGAGGTTGCGAAGCGATAAATTTGATCGGACCACAATGGTGATTGGTTTTCGTAGAAGAATAATGAACCGAGCGAGTCGAAATCCGTGCATTGTGGAAAACAATTTTCTGCTTTCGTCCGCCATCGTTACACCGTGCATCACGCGTTTATCCCTTTTATTCCCGCCGGAAATAAATAATAATCTATCGTTCGAGGTCGATACATCGATAGAACGGCGGACGTTATTAAGGGGGCTAATTATTTATAGGGTCGGTCGTAAATAAGTCGAGGCTGGCCACGGGATCGAAATGGCTTCTAAGATAGAGAGAGCCCGGTGAACAGAAGTGTAATTTGGTTTCGGCAAATAGGCGCGATCAATCTTTCTCGTAATTCCCCGACCGGAGGTACGATACGCACAAATATATGGCCGACAGAGGCCAACGTGCACGACCACCCCCTTTCCAGAAAATCCTCAGCGATGTCCCCACACCTCGTAATGATGCGTCTCTACGCACGTCCCAACACGTGTGAGATTGCGGTGATAAAAACGATGAAAAAAGTTCCTGGAAACGGTGGATGTTTCTTACGAGTTGCGGCCAAGTTTTTCGCCACTTTCGCGATTTTATTCGCCAAACGCGAATAAAAACAATATGTACACGGAGCAAGTGCACTCAAAAGCTTGCAAACAAGCTGGCTAATGAATCCATCTTTGTCGCGGAAGAGCAAAGTATTTACGAGATCAATAAGGGTGGCACTGACGTATTTTGGATCGAATAAGTATTTTATTAGAGATTGATAAAACACGAGTTGTAAATGTAAACAGTCAGCAGAAAGTATATAACATAAATTCATTCATTTTGTTCCATTTAAAGCAGAGCAAGCCGATAGCTGATCATATCTTTTAAATTTATTATCATCGAATACTCGTAGAACTTTCAGAGTTGTTAAATTTCTATGCATGTCGGAGATCTTTTCGTTCCACGCATGTATTTATTCATCAGAATCTGCACAACAGCGAATTCAGAAAAGACTCGTTAACTTTATTATGAACCATACTATTTGTAACTCTCGTCGTTTTACTTTCCTACACTGTATTACATGTGAACTGAAATTTTTTATAATTTTTGTGGATTTGTATTATACTTAATCAAGAATCATCGTCGCGTTTGCACCCCAACGCGTTACGATAATAGCCCCTACGACCCATCAGTTTTTTACCCCCGGTGTCCGTTAAGCCTCCCTTCTGGCCCCTCTTTTTATGGTTACGTTTGACAGCCTCGATCATTTGTTAGGAAATCGTGGTCATATTTCGTTGGCAGCCGCGGGAAACGTCCACGTGTTACGCCCCCTATCGCGACCCGGACGCGTGTAATCAGTACGCGGCGGTAAATTATTCGGGATAAGCCGGGCCGGGACAATTTGGACGGAATGCAACTTGGAGAATATTACGACGTGATTCTATCTGTTGCTATTCTCTCAGCCGCAGAGCAGCGACGCTGCTCGAGGACGATAAAAATAAACGCGTCGCGACGTTGATGGACGATTCGATTCGATAATTGCGACGGTTACATAATTCCCGTTCTATTTTCGAAAACACGGACATTTCCCGTTTTATCTTGCTATTTATTTTACTGCAAAACAGTTAAAAATTGTTACAAACGAAACGTTCCAGTTTCAAACGAAACATTTTCTCGTCAACTCGAAGCAAAAAGAGAATCAGTGGGGTCGATATTAATTCATTATACTTGATTTCGTATGCAACGACGAGCAAATGCAGTGTCGGATACGGTTCCTGGGAAGTCCCGTGACTGGCGCCAATTTAGAAGCGACTCTAATGTCGCGAAATTGTTTTTCATCCGCCGGCGAACACGAAAGGGTCGTCGCGAGAACGTCGCGATAAAGACAACTGTGATCTCGTGCACGTAATGAGTCGACGGCAATTTCAGTTGCACGCAGTGGAAATTACCGTTGCGCGAGCAGCAATTGCGGCGAAGACATCACGAGGAACCGGCCAAACAATCTTGTCGACGTTTCTCTCTCTTTCCTATTTCGCTTTTTTTTCGACTCCCGAGGGGTTCTTTTCCCCCAAACAAACTCCAGACGTGTTTGTGAAATTTAATAATACCCAACGATTTCAAAACATCAATTGACCCATACCATCTAGATAAAAGAAAATTAACAGCGGATCTTATTTTTGTATTTAAAGTTATCAGTAATCTTATTGTGTGTTCATGTACTGTGCGTCCAGGCAGTGGAGATCCAGGCACTAATCAGACTTGCGTTGTCCACGTTAGCCAACTTCCAGCGGACTCACAGTACTTGCAAAACTTCCAAGAACAAGAAATTACATAAATAAATTATGCTCAGCCTCGAATGCTCACTGCAAAAACATTCATTTCTTCGATGAATCGTTAATCTCTTTTAAACAGTCTTTATTAGATTCACTTAGGGCTCAGCATTACATTTTTTTGTTGTTTTATATATTTTATAATTCATTTTTACGTAATTTTCACCTTATATTTTATATTTGTATACTCTATATAAAATTCCATATTTATCCACTACAAAAAATTCTTCATTTAAATCGAGTTTTAGTTACGTTTCTGCTTCCCTTTTCGGATTCCAGTCGACGTTATTCATGTTTCGAATTTTTGAACCTTTCCTATTTAATTGTTCCTGATCGGTGGTTAGTTTATTTGTTCGGAGAACACGTGTGCACGACTTAGGATTCAGATTCCGAAGACGATTAAGAGCGATTTTGTTCCGTTTCGATTTTAATCGCGACGTCGAGCTCGTTCGTTCGCAACGAGGCTAACTAACGATCCGACGTTTATTCGTTTAATCTCGCGACATTAATTGAAAAATTTCACCGTGGTTTTGGTTGTTCGTTAACGAGGGAAAACGGATAGCTCCGCTGTCGGCGTACACCACTGGCGGAAATTTGCCGCGGTTGTACGCCGGCTTCGTAGATTTAAATGGATCCTTTTACGCGGACAGTTTTAACCGCGGCTGATCCGTGCCGGACATCCGTGGTTCACCACCTATATCCATAGATCGTCGTGTAATGTAGTCCGTTATCTGTTTTCGGCCTTTGGGGGCGGCTTGAAATTTCGAAGGACCCGTTCCCCGAGCCTAGCCAACAGAAATTGTTTTTTTTTTCGCGAAAGGAGCCTTTCCACCGTCGAAGATCTCTCGTCCATAAGTCACTGAACGCTTAACGAACGTGGAATAAAAATGAATTAGCGTCGTGAAATTATAAAATGAAATATTTACTTATTCATTACATTATGAAGGAAACATTCCTCATATCGTGTGTCATGGATTTTATCAAAATAATAGCTTTTATGAGTGTATCAGTTTCCTTTGAAAACGACCAAATCAATTGTGGAATTCTAGCAACAATTGTTTTTTAGTATTTTTATTATTAATACTACTCCAACTTCTCTATAATATTTTTCACGAGTCTTTCTTCGATTTTAAACGCGTTATTATTACAAATTTGCTTCTTCCTACAATTTCAACTATTGCATATTTATTTTAATTTCACACGTGAGTTATTAAATTTATAGTAAAGTTCTTCGGAAAATTGCACCTGTATTTTAGTTTATATGATTTATAGATGGCAGTGTAAGTACTGTGCAAAGCTGGAATGTTGATACCTGACTGATTCGACCATCCAATTCGTTCTAGTGTAAACGTTTATCTATAAACTTATTTTTACCACGAATCTTGTTATTAATCGAACAGCATGGCGGACGAAGAAAATAGGAAAGATTCAAAATATCGATTAATTGCGGAATATTTAATTATTTGATAGCCACTCTTCAGTTAGGTTTGATTTAGGTGACTGGGTAGAACGATCTTGTCGAGTTTGCAGTCACCAGCAAGAAACAGTAGCAACTTGGCGGTTTATGAAATAGCGTCGGAAGGGCGTGTCCAAGGTACGCTAGAGTAAAAAAGTGTAGCGTCGTGATTACAATGCGAGGAACAGTAGCAGCTGGAGTTATCAATCGCGGATCGTCGCGATTCATCGGCGGGAAAGCAATATCCACGAAATCGATTTCTTCACGGGGCTGTTACGGCCGTCGTGTCTGGATTCTCGGGACAGTGATAGACCATCGCGAAGTAGATCGAGAGACGGAGACATTTTCCCCTGCCAGCTGGCCGGCCGATCGGCGACGTGACTGTCGTCTCTGCCATCGTGATTCGCAATTATCGAATCCAATTTGTCCGTCAGAAAGGCGAGTTGGTGCCGGCGGCCGAGAGTGGGTGGGGGACAGGAGGGGGATGGCGAGAAAACGTAGAAAAAGGGTGGGAACAGGCGATCGAAGGCAGAGAAAATGACGAGGCGGACGACGCAGAAATGGATAGAGAAAGAGCTCGCCACCCTGGAATTAACTCCGGTGCACCTTGCACGGTAATTACTTTGCGTCCGATCGATATCACGAATTCGAGTACGACTCTCGTAGCGAACGGGGAAAGAACGAGACAGAGAACAATAATCGGGCGGGGGTGTGCCTGACCGGTTTTCGTCGTTGAGATTTTTTCGATTGGATCTTCTTTTTCGGGACGGTGCTGCGACCACGACTCGAGGGACCTCTAAATACACGAATACGATGGTAGTTTTAGCGAGGTGTCCTCTTTTTTATATCTACAATCACACGATCAATGATGTAGGATATACTCATAAATTAATTAAGGGGCCTTTCTACCTTGTGGGATTAAAAAAATCGATATTTTTTTTTTGGCATTTTCCTTTAGTATGTAGTCTCGAAAATATGTCTACCAAATATTAAATTGAAATTCGGAAAACTAACGAAGTTATAGCCTGCTGAAATGTACCACACGCAGGTATAATAACT